TTTTGACAAGTACACAAGCAAAGAATTGAATCTCAATAATTTAGTCTTGTTTTGTGTGCCGGGGGTTCAATGTGCTGTATGTGGTGAGATGTATGTAACACAATACAGGCACACTGGTCATGGTGTACAAATGCTTTGTGAATTTTCTTTCTTTCTTTTTTTTTTTTTTTGTCAGACTCTTTCTTTTTGCTTACAATATCAAACATAGATTTAGACCACTCAGTCTCAGTGTGGGTTTAGACCTTTTCCAAAAGTGTAATTTTTACCCATAGTGCAACATTTTCCCATACATATTACACTTGGATGGTTTTGATGCTGGATAAAAATAATCAGTTTTCAACCTCTATATTATCACTATATTAAGACATTTGTAAAACAGCAGTGCTTTTGAATAAAAAAATCAATGATAAATTTGTATTTATTCATTTTGACCACTTGGGGACAGCGCAACAAGCTGTAAACATACAATTTATAAAGTTGTTACGAAGAAGATGTTAGCAAACAGTTGCCTATTTACACACCCAGCAGACACAGAACATAATCAGCTTTTAGAGTCATCTCTCTTCCCACCTGATGAATCGAAGTCCACTATTTACTCTCCTATAGCTCTGTTTTGGTCTCTGTTAACTCTAGAGGGAAATATCTGGCTCTTTAGCAACTAAATACTCCACCAGCTAGTTGCTAACTTTATGTGCCTGCCTTTTGGTGCTCGGCAGGTCACTTACAGGGGGTTTATGAGAGCTTTTCTGCTGAAAACAGCTCCCCGCTGTGGTTATAGAACTTAGTTTAGTGAGAGCAGTGAAACTGAACCAAACCAGTAAAGTTACAAAACCAAAACAATGAGCTGAAAGACACTACACTGCTCTGTAGAGCTGAGGAGAAGTGCAGTGTTGGGAGAAAAACTCTCTGTGGGTTCATTAATATGAGCGACACCTTTTAGTTACACAGTCACTTCATCCCGTGTTAATATAAAAATATTGACCGGTGCAGCTTTAAGTGATATTGTTGCTTTCTTACTGTTTTTTTTTTTGTCTGGGTTTTACAGTTTCTAAAAAAAGGCCTCCACAAAATGAAGTTGTTTCCTTTTAAAAGATGACCTTGAAGATTTCAGAGCTGAACTCCTAATGCAGGGTTGAAATCGATCTGCTTTTGCGTATGAGAAACGACTGCTTACTTATACCGCTTCAGCCACAAGTCCATTTAATATCACCCCACTGGAGTGAATTGTCTTTGCTTGTCTTTTCTCAGGCTTCTTACAGACAAACAACAATCAGGTCAGACACTGACATTTTTTTCCAAGTGTCTCTCTTTCCTCGTATTGTGGTCTGGCAAGCGACAACGCTCTCATTTCAAACATCACCATCTCTAACTAGCAATGTCCGGTGGTTACCTCCTGGCTGCCCGAGATGGCGCTGGCCCAGAGGATGTTTTTGTTGGTTTGTTTACTGGTTTGTCTGGGTTGTTTTTGGCTGCAGCTTTTTCGGTCTTGGCACACCTTTGTTCTCTCAAGAAAAAAACAAAAGAGCCAAGAAACTAAAGCTTCATTCAAATTCCTTCATTCTCTCTGCTCTTCCCTTCCCAAAGTCCCACCAGCTCCCCAACTGCCTGTTGGACCCCTGGCTTTCCTCCCCCTGCTGCCCCCCCCCCCCCCTTCCTTCCTCCCTGTCGGTGCTGTGCGTGACAGTAGCTCACTGAGAAGTGGAAATGAGACTAGTAAACAATGATTAGCTCCAGAGCCGGAGCAGCCTGGTCTACCGTTGGTCCTGTCTCCACACAGCGAGCGCCCACCCGCTAGCACATGACATGCAGCGGTATATAGACCCCATCCCCTCCTCCGCCCCCCAGCCACAAACAATCACACACAACCCCCGCTCCGCCCCCACCCCACCCCGACTACTTCCCCCTCACCCAGAGTCAACGCAGGGTCAGGGCCAACCTTTCACAGCTAGGTTACAAGGGGTAATCACAGGCAAACACAGCAGCCACACGCAAAATGCACACACGACAACCCCCCCCCCACCCTTCAGAAAAAAAAGCCCTAAATCTAGCCCTCCCCATCCGCCACCCAGCAACCCCCTTCATCAGCCACAAACCTGGCTCTAATTAGTGTGATGGGGATGCAAGTTGCCACATGTGTATAAGGAGCAGACTCAAGCAAGGAGGAGGAGGTAGTGATGGTGGTGTCGGTGGAGGTGAAAGGGAGAGGGGGGAGGGATTCCCCCTATAGGAATAGAGGATAGCAGAAACAGTCATCCCAAGTGCAGGCAGTGTATTTGAAGACATTGCTATGTCTCTGGTTAACCGAGGAATCATTCTGGAGGCTGCTTGGTGCTCAGCCACACCGCATTTCTCAAGACAAAGAGCTCTCAGGCAAAACTCTCCATATCTGTAAAAGGCTCTTTAAGCACCCTTATTGTGAAAGAATGACACGTGACACTCAAATTGTAGTTTAACGTAAGCTGCCTCATTGTTGCCTTTCTGTTTGTTTTAAAAATTTTAACAGGCTGTGCCAATTAGACCTGTTATTTATCAGTTTATGAAATCAGAACTTTACTGTTTGTGAGTATATGGGTGGATTGTGACAGTATAACAATTTAATAAAACATTTGTGTTGCACCTGTTGTGGCAGTGAAATACTTGCTTTGCAGGCGCAGTCACTTAATCGAAGGTTTGCAAAACATCCACTGTTACAGAAGCAGCTAAACGTCATGATGAAACATACCGATAATTTTCTATTTGACTAATGAGACATGTGCGCTGCATGACTTTAACTCAACTATGTATATAATAATAAATTCTCCTGCCTAGTTATTATTATTTCTTGTTTTTATAATTGGTCGAAAATAGATCCCAAGCTTCTAATATTTACTCTGTCATAGAACATGATGTGCACATCTAATATTTGTTGTAAAACACATTTTTAAAAAGTCAGTTCAATATCCGTTTCAACATTTGCCATCCTCCTCCATCACTCCCCCTCCTCCTCCACCCCCCAGCCTCCTCTCCTGCTAATAATGCCTGCCTGTGCTTGTGTGGCAGGGCAGCTTCTGTCCCTCTGACTTAGTGCCTTACTTTGGAAATGTTTTAGTACCTTCAATTAGCGTCATTACCTCCGTGCAAAAATAAACTTCACAGTTGGTGGGAAAAACAAGAAACAAATTCTGTCCGCACGGAGAAGGGAAATGTTTTGCCTTGGGAAATCACATCACTTTGAACTGAAAGTTTCATAGAATCAACAAAAAGATTTCTTCTTGATGATGAATGCCAAGGATATCTATCTATCTATCTATCTATCTATCTATCGATCTATCTATCTATCTATCTGTCTATGTGTCTGTCTGTCTGTCTATCTATCTATCTATCTGTAGATTTAAGTACAAAACTCCTTACTCACATGATTGTGCAACTCTAACAAAAAAACAGCTCGTGATTTATTACCTGAGGCAAAAAAAAAGTTGAATATGAACAAGATTTGGCCTCAGATTTTATTTTGTTTGTTCACAGTTAAACATGCTTTTTATTTTTTCTTCTGTTGCTTGAAAGTTTAACCACTGGGAGGGGGGGCCCTGAACTTTGCTGTGGTATGATGATGATGTAACCTGGAGTCTCATGCGAAACTACAGTTTATGTGTTGGGGGAAAAAAACAAGATGTTGTAGCAAATTCAAGTATCAATATTTCATGGCTTGTCCACACTGAGTTACTGTGTTAGTTTGTTATGTGAGATTTCAGTCAAATTGTTTTGCCACATTCAGAAGGGAGGGTCAATAATAAGAAAGAAATAAAGGAAAGAAAGAAAGAAAGAAAGAAAGAAAGAAAGAAAGAAAGAAAGAAAAGTTAAATACATGACTGTAATATTCAAATATAGGGATCCTTGTGTTTTCAGGAAGTATGTGATATTTTAGAAAACACTATTGGCCTACATCCATGGTGTGATTTTATTTATTTTTTTATATCAGAAAGGTTTTTAGTTATGATATTTTTAGAATTATTTATCTTTAAATAACTACTTCTTTAAATTTTGCTGCAGGAAATTTGAAATAAATTGTAGTTTCTTTGTGTTCAAGATGTATGAATCAAATATAATATAATAGAAGGCTGCAGGGTCTTTTGAACTTTTCCTCAGTTTTATATTTGGCACTAATCGCATTTTTAGGACCAACAAACAAAACGAATCTCTGCTACAGTTTAACCTGGAGAACTGTTGGGATAAAGACTCACAGGGAAATGCTACAAAATGACAATTCGGTATATCATATATAAACATACATATATATATATATATATATATATATATGTGTGTGTATGCGTGTGACCACTGCACACAGATTACATCTACTTAAATTCAATGACTCCAACTTTCCTGACAGTTGATGCATGTAACCAGTAAACTGCTAAAAGCGTACAAACAAACTTTCAGGCAGATCATAATATAGAGTAATTCACGAAATAAAAATAACGAATAAAAGTTACGTTCATTGACTGAAAACTGAATTACGTTTAAGTATATTGAGAACATTTTAAATTTAAGTCGCCTATAAATTCAGTCTAGAGTTGGACAAACCGTATGCAAACACTTTTTCTACCCAAAGTGCGCCCGCTGAGTCTTCTGCAGCCACAAAATAAATCATGTTAGAGAGATGCACTTTAAAATGTGCAAACTCTCAGTCCTCCAATTAGTAAAACAAATTGGCTCGACACGTTTCCTACGGAATCGGTCACCAGTTGCTCTAAGTCTCTCTCTCTTTCTCTCTCTCTCTCTCTCTCGCTCTGCGGAGAGGCCGACGGTCGTTCACGCTGCACGCTCACGGTGTCCCCCGGTGTCCGCTCTCAAGTGCGCGCCTCCAACAGCGACCGACAGCAGAGAGATAATATAGTGGGGTCTGAAGGGCTACCACAATGGGAGGAGTATGAAAGTTATCCTGAGCCCTGCCCACCAACTGCAAAACATATAAGACGCTGGAGTGGAGCAAAAAGCAGGCACTTAAGCCTTAAATCTTGATGAAAACACTGACTAAAGACAAAAAAAACTTCACCTTAACTCCCTTCATTTATCTGTTATTTTAGGGTTTCATCATTATGACCTCACTGGCATTTGATTGACATATCTGAAATATTTTTCTCACCTGATATGGATATACAAGAGCTTTAGTAGTTTTTTTTTCTTCCAAACATACAACCACTGAGCAGACTATCAGAAGTGAAGTTTTTCTTTTTTTTTCTTTTTTGAGGAACAAGTGTGCAGAAAAATTGTCACAATGGCACTGGACACAGAGTTTGGTGTGAAGGGCAGCAGCATCATCAGGGAATGGAGTGGACAGGTCCAGCCTGCTCTGGTTGCCTCCTTTGTTTTCCTCTTCTGTCTGGAAGCATGTCTGTGGGTCAGGAACCTCAGGCTCAAGAGAAGACTGCCGGGACCCTTCGCCTGGCCCGTGGTGGGCAACGCCATGCAGCTGGGCCAGATGCCTCACATCACCTTCGCCAGGCTAGCCAAAAAATATGGCAATGTGTACCAGATACGACTAGGCTGCAGTGATATTGTGGTTCTCAATGGAGACAGGGCGATACGTGAGGCTCTGATACAGCACAGCACAGAGTTTGCAGGCAGACCAAACTTTGTCTCTTTCCAGATGATCTCTGGAGGCAGGAGTTTGACATTTACTAATTACGGCAAACAGTGGAAAGCACACAGGAAAATTGCCCAGTCAAGCCTCAGAGCCTTTTCCTCTGCAAACAGTCAGACCAAAAAAGCCTTTGAGCAACACATTACAGCTGAGGCCATGGAACTGGTGCAGGTATTTTTGCGGCACAGCACTGATGGACGCTATTTTGACCCTGCGCATGAATTTACAGTAGCTGCTGCTAATATCATGTGTGCTCTCTGCTTCGGTAAGCGATACGGGCATGATGACCTGGAGTTCAGGAACTTGTTAAAAAGACTGAACAAGTTTGGAGAGACAGTAGGGGCAGGTAGTCTGGTAGATGTCATGCCCTGGCTTCAATCCTTCCCCAACCCAGTCCGCAGTGTCTATGAAAACTTTAAAAACCTCAATGAGGAGTTTTTTGCCTTTGTGAAAGATAAAGTGGCACAGCACCGAGAGTCCTTTAGCCCTGATGTGACCCGGGACATGAGTGACGCCATCATCAATGTGATCGAGCATGGAAGAGACAGCGGGCTGACCAAAGACTTTGTCGAAGCAACAGTGACAGATCTAATCGGAGCAGGTCAAGACACAATATCAACTGTCATGCAGTGGATCGTCCTGCTCCTTGTCAAATACCCAGACATACAAGTCAAAATGCAGCAGCTCATAGACAAAGTGGTGTATTGATGGCGTCACTCATGTCCCGGGTCACATCAGGGCTAAAGGACTCTCGGTGCTGTGCCACTTTATCTTTCACAAAGGCAAAAAACTCCTCATTGAGGTTTTTAAAGTTTTCATAGACACTGCGGACTGGGTTGGGGAAGGATTGAAGCCAGGGCATGACATCTACCAGACTACCTGCCCCTACTGTCTTCCCAACTTGTTCAGTTTCTTTTTAACAAGTTCCTGAACTCCAGGTCATCATGCCCGTATCGCTTACCGAAGCAGAGAGCACACATGATATTAGCAGCAGCTACTGTAAATTCATGCGCAGGGTCAAAATAGCGTCCATCAGTGCTGTGCCGCAAAAATACCTGCACCAGTTCCATGGCCTCAGCTGTAATGTGTTGCTCAAAGGCTTTTTTGGTCTGACTGTTTGCAGAGGAAAAGGCTCTGAGGCTTGACTGGGCAATTTTCCTGTGTGCTTTCCACTGTTTGCCGTAATTAGTAAATGTCAAACTCCTGCCTCCAGAGATCATCTGGAAAGAGACAAAGTTTGGTCTGCCTGCAAACTCTGTGCTGTGCTGTATCAGAGCCTCACGTATCGCCCTGTCTCCATTGAGAACCACAATATCACTGCAGCCTAGTCGTATCTGGTACACATTGCCATATTTTTTTGGCTAGCCTGGCGAAGGTGATGTGAGGCATCTGGCCCAGCTGCATGGCGTTGCCCACCACGGGCCAGGCAAAGGGTCCGCGCAGTCTTCTCTTGAGCCTGAGGTTCCTGACCCACAGACATGCTTCCAGACAGAAAGAGGAAACAAAGGAGGCAACTGTGAAGGTA